TTCATCATATCGCCTTTGATCTGCAGTTTCTTGGCCATGAAAGCATTGGTAGGAGTTAGTTTACCGGAGAACATTGGCGCAAAATCCGTATCGGCGAGGGTGAACCTGGAAATAAAAGATGTTCGCAATGAGAATGGTAAAAAATATTTTTGGGTGTTCTGGAAATGGAAGAAAGATGTTCGCAATGGAAATTGTGAAAAAAGCCATTTCTGATAATATTTCTCTTAAAAATTGTATGTTTAAAAAATGCTCGTAGTGGATATCACAAAAAAATATTTTCTGCATGGTTTGAGAGATTGTGAGCCCAAAGGAGGCGCGGGGCGGAGCAAAATCTTTTTCTCAAAAACGAAAAGGCGCTTCACTTGCTTCTTTTGCGCTCCACTGATAAACAAAAATTGCCGAAAAAATAAAATTCTTATTTTACCAAAAAACGTCCTCTTATGAGAAATAAAAAATACAAACAAAAACTTCGTTGGAAACTCTGAATAAAATAAAAAATTGTGAAATTTCCGAAAAACCATTTTTGTCAAAAATAATACTCACTTGACATCAGCATCATCACATCCGCTCTCCGAGACGGATCCATCGCCATTTTTCAGATCAAGCGTGATTTTCCTACCCTTTTCTCCTGAGAACAAAAAACCCTTGAGTACAAAAATTACAGAATGGGGTAATTATTAGATGCAAGGTAAAAAACTCTCAGTATTTACCTGTTAATGTAAACTCAAAAACGCCCGACATCTTATCAACAATTTCCTTTGAAACCATTTTCTTCATGGTCTCTAGAGTTTTAGTAATGTCCTCCTCAACTGCTGCCTGCAAAATAAAGTTAAAATCGAAAACTTGATGAATGACATGGTCTTTACCAACTTTTTTCAGCATGTTGATACTTTTCCGGCGCTCAGGAGTTTGCCCGAAAGTGTTTGGGTAGTTTTCAATGTTTGGAATGAAGAAGTCAGCCATAAGCGGTGCATCTAAAAAAATTTCACTTTTTTGTCATAATTTGGGTTGTTGCACTCGACTCACCAGGGTCAACGGCATATTTCTTGAAGTCCACTACACCTTCTTCTCGCAAGACTTCTTCATCGATAGTGAAGTTACCGGTAAAATTACGGCTATTTTTGGAAAGAACGGCATAGGCAGCGTCCGCCATGATGGAGGGCTGGAAAATGCGCTTAAGATTTAAAATGCACGAAAAAATTAAGTGCGCCTGTACTCAAAGGCTGCTGCCGGACGAAGGCGAAAGAACATGAGTTGCGCGCGCGAACGCGGCGCGTGTGTATTTTCAAATTGTAAATCCTGCACCTTATGCGCTCTGCGGCTAATAACGTCGCATACGCGCGCCTAGGTTTTGCACCTTCGTCAGGCAGTAGTCTTAGAATCTTACTCGGTTTAATTTTCGGATATATGAGTTTTTGAACAATTCTTATCCGACCTATTATTCGGATCTCCAAAAGCTGTGTGATCTACTTAAATGGTACTGTGCAGTGAAACTTTTTTCAAACACTTAAGGCAAAATATGCTATACCGGATGTCATCTTCTGTTTCGCAGGTTCAAGATAATGGGATCAATAGATTATTTCAAAAAAAAA